GGGGGGGGGGGGGGGTTGAGTTTTGAGATTCACTGGGTGAGTTCTTGTTAGATTAGTCGTAGCTTTGCAATGGATCCACGCTTTACACGACAAGCTGGTTCCACGAATGAAATTCTTATAGGTAATCGTCCCTTCGCGGTTCAAGCACAAGAGAATGCTCTTGGAAGGCCCATGTTTCAGGATACCGTATTGAGTCATAACTTTGAAGAATTTAATTGCTTTCCTCTCGATCCATCACCGAATAACATGGCCTCAAGTTCCAGTATTAGAACCTCATCTTCTAATGAGGCGAGCCATGAGGAAGATTATCTGGAAGATTACGATTTCTCTGATGCTGTTTTGAGATTCATAAATCAGATTCTCATGGAAGAAGATATGGAGGACAAGACTTGCATGCTTCAAGATTCTTTGGATCTTCAAGCTGCTGAGAAATCATTCTACGAGGTCCTTGGAAAAAAGTATCCTCCTTCTCCAGAACCGAATAGATCTCTGGCCAATCAATACAGTGATAGCTTCTATGAAGAACTTTGTGGAGATAGTATTAATTGCCTGAATAGTTATCGTAATACTTTTTATTATGGTGATGATAACCCTTTTCAAACTCTGGGTGAGGATGTATTTCAAATCAGAAGCACTTTAGATGATATCATTTCTCCATCATCTCATAGCTCCTCGAATAGTATTATTAGTGGGGCTGATGGGTGGGTGGACTTCTCGAATAATACAATTCTAGTCCCTGAGCCTAATAACAGAAGCCAATCCATTTGGCAGTTTCAAAAAGGGTTTGAAGAGGCTAGCAAATTTTTACCTGGTGAAAACAACTTGTGTCTTGATTTTGAGGTAAATGAGCCAGCAACTCAGGGTCCGGAGGAGGAAACGAGCGAGATATATTTGAAGGCAGGAAGAAAGGATCAGAAGAGTGTTTTGTCACTTGAATCACGTGGAAGAAAGAATCCTCATGATGAGGATGGAGATTTGGAAGAAGAGAGATGCCGCAAGCAAGCAGCTCTATTTACAGAGTCAACCTTGCGATCTAAGATGTTTGATATTGTGTTGCTTTGTAGTGCAGGGGAGGGGCGTGAACGGTTAGTTTCATTTCGACAGGAATTACAGAATGCTAAAATCAAAAGCATGCTGCAGAATGGGCAACTAAAAGAGTTTAGAGGTGGGAGGGGTCGTCGGAAGAAGCATAGTGGGAAAAAGGAGGTTGTGGATTTGAGAACTCTTCTAATTAGCTGTGCTCAAGCTATTGCAGCTGATGACCATAGGAATGCCAGTGAGCTTCTAAAGAAGATCAGGCAACATGCTTCTCCTTTTGGGGATGGAAATCAGAGGTTGGCTAATTGTTTTGCTGATGGTCTGGAGGCACGCTTGGCAGGTACTGGTAGCCAGATTTACAAAGGTCTAGTTAATAAAAGAACATCTGCTGCCGATGAATTGAAAGCTTACCACTTGTACCTTGCTGCATGCCCATTTAGAAAGATCTCTAATTTTACTTCAAACAGGACTATAATGATTGCTGCAGAGAATGCAACGAAGCTTCATGTCATAGATTTTGGTATCCTTTACGGTTTCCAGTGGCCTACTTTAATCCAGAGATTGTCATGGAGAGAAGGTGGACCTCCAAAGCTTCGAATTACTGGAATAGAATTTCCCCAGCCTGGATTTCGTCCTGCGGAGAGAGTTGAGGAGACAGGTCGTCGCTTGGCGGCCTATGCAGAGAGTTTCAACGTGCCATTTGAGTATAATGCTATAGCAAAAAAATGGGAAAATATTTCTGTGGAAGAACTCAATATCCATCAAGATGAGTTCCTCGTTGTGAACTGTTTGTATCGAGCAAAAAATTTGTCTGATGAGAGTGTTGCCACAGAGAGTGCCAGAAGTTCTGTTTTTAGATTGATACACAAAATTAAACCCAACTTATTCATCAGTGGCGTTGTCAACGGGGCATACAATGCACCTTTCTTCGTTACCCGATTTCGAGAGGCATTGTTTCACTTTTCTGCTATCTTTGATATGCTTGAAACTGTTGTACCTCGTGAGGATTGGGAGAGAATGCTGTTGGAGAGAGAGATCTTTGGCAGGGAGGCTTTAAATGTTATAGCATGTGAGGGATGGGAGAGAGTGGAAAGACCAGAAACATACAAGCAGTGGCAATTTTGGATCATGAGGGCTGGATTTGTGCAACTGCCATTTTATCCTGAGATTTTTGAGAGAGCAGTTGAAAAGGTGCGGTCAAGTTACCACAGAGATTTTTTGATTGATGAAGATAGTAGATGGATACTGCAGGGATGGAAAGGTCGAATTATATATGCCATTTCTGCATGGAAACCTGCTGCAGAGTAAACATGAAAATGGGACAGACTGTGTTAATCACGTCTGCAGGTGTCTCTTGATTACTAGCTATATTCAAATCAAAAGAGACTGCTTGAAGACCAAGGGGTTAGTATTCATGAACATTAACGCCATTTCACTCTCTTTTGTTGTTTTTTCCTCACCCGTTTTTAACTAATTATGGCCTCAATTATCTAACAGGTTAACTGTGGAGCTGTTTCAAATTTGAAACTAAGTGTTGGGGAAGGCTTCAATGCCCCCTGTAGTATTTTCTTCCC